ATCAAAGAAGTAAAGGATCTATTCGCAGAAAACTACATGAAATTAAGAAACAAGAGGAAGATATAAAAAAGTGAAAGCATATACCTTGTTCATGGATTGGAAGAATTAACATCATTAAAATGTCCATACTACCCAAAGCAATTTATAGATTCAATGCAATCCCCATTAAAATAACAACAACATATTTCACAGAACTAGAACAAATATTCCATAAGTTTATATGGAAACAAAAAAGACAAAGAAAAGACACAGCAATCTTGAAAAAGAACAAAGTAGGAGGGATCACAATACCGGATATCAGGTTATACTACAAAGCCATTGTAATCAAAACAGCCTGGTACTGGCACAAGAACAGGCATATAGATCAATGGAAAAGAACAGAGCACCCAGAAACTAACCCAAGACATTATGCTCAATTAATATTTGACAAAGGTGGAAAGAGCGTACAATGGAGTAAAAGCAGCCTCTTTAATAAATGGTGTTGGGAAAATTGGACAGCTACATGCAAAAAAAATGAAACTAGACCATCAACTTACACCATACCCAAAAATAAACTCAAAATGGATAAAAGACTTAAATTTGACTGGTAACTCCATAAAAATCTTAGAAGTAAATGTAGGTAACAAAATTTCAGACATCACACGCAGCAGAATTTTCAGTGATACAATGTCTAAGGCAAGAGAAACAAAGGAAATCATTAATACATGGGTCTACATCAAAGTAAAAAGCTTCTGCACAGCAAAAGAAACAAGCATCAAAATGGAAAGAGAATTCATTATATGGGAGAGTATAATCGCCAATGATACATCAGATAACGGGTTAATTTCCAAAATATATAGAGTACTCATACAACTCAAAAAAATGAAGACAAAGAACCCAATTAAAAAATGGAAAGAGGACCTAAACAGACACCTCTCCAAATAGAACATACGAATGGTCAAGAGACATATGAAAAAATGCCCAACGTCACTAACCATCAGAGAGATACAAATTAAAATGACTACGAGGTATCACCTCACACGTGCCAGAATGGCTGCCATCAACATATCATCAAACAATAAGTGCTGACGAGGGTGTAGAGAAAAGGAGACTCTAGTACACTGCTGGTGGGAATGCAGACTGGTGCAGCCACTATGGAAAACAGTATGTTATTTCCTCAAAAACTTAAAAATTGAACTGCCATTTGACTCAGTGATCCCACTTCTAGGAATATACCCCAAGACTGAAACACCAGTCAGTAAGAATATACGTACCCTGTGTTCATAGCAGCACTATTTAAAATTGCTAAGATCTGGAAACAGTCCAAGTGTCCATCAACAGATGAGTGAATGAAAAAGCTGTGGTACATAAGAAAAAAAGATCTCTTATCCTTTGAGATGATATAGAAGAATCTGAGGAGTAGTATGCTAAGTAAAATAAGTGAGTCAGAGAAAGACAAGTATCAAATGATCTCACTCATTTGTGGAATATAAGTGGAATGAATATTTGTGGAATGAACAAAATAAGGTGATGAACAAAATACACCCAGAGACATAGAAGTAGGGATCAGACGGATAACCTTCATAGAAAGGGAGGGGGGGCAGATAAACTAAAGAACTTATGCATATATGCATAACCAATGGACATTGACAACAATGCTGGGGGTGGGGGACCGGATGTTGCCAATGGGGGGAAAATGAGAAACATCTGTAACAAAAAATAAATTAATTTTAAAAATCCATATAGCTTTTCAAATTAGTCTCTAAACAACTTAAAAGTTATAATGGAAAAATATTCATTTGTAACAACCAAAAAATGTAAAATATATAGGAATACTTTGAGATTTTTATGAAAAGCATAGAAACCAAGCCACACAATCTTACTGAGACATAAAAAGAAGACTTGAATAAAAGAAGCTAAAATACGTCGGCCTGCGGTCCTGAGAGACCCGGGTTCGGTTCCCGCTAAGGGCATGTACTTCGGTTGCAGTTTGTCCCCGGCCCTGGTCGGTTGTGCGGGTGGCAACCACTCGATGTGTTCCTTTCACATAGATGTTTCTCTCTCTCTCTCTGTTCCCCTCTCTCCCTCCCACTCTACCTGAACAAAAAATGGAAAAATGTCCTCGGGTGAGGATACAAAAAAAAAAAAAAAAAGAAGCTAAAATATGTTTTCAGATTAACAAACTATTGAGAAGTTTTTGGATCTTTCCAAATTAATTTATAGCTTATCACAATTTTAATAGGATTTTTCAGCAATATGACCAAGCATTTCTAAAACCTCTAGGATATAACAAACCCATAAAAATCAAACTTTTGAAAGCTAGATTTCTAAAGAGAAACTTCCTCCATAAAGCTATCATAATTAAAATAGCATGGTTACAACACAATTATAGAAATAATAATGGAATGAAATAAAAACCCCAAACTGGCCCAATTATATTAAGTAGTTATTATATGATAAAAGGAGTATTATCAACCAATAAGGAATAGATAAAGATACATAGCACTGGGAAAACTGACTGTATAAAATAAAGTAAAATTAGAACCTCATCTTATACTATGTACCAAAATAAATTATTGAACATAATATAATCAAATAATTATAACAACATAAATACACTTTATCTAGTACTGTATACAAGTTTTTATTAGGAAAAACAATTCATTGTACTTTTATTTTTGTCCCTCAGAAGTCTCATTTACAGACTGCAAAGACTACCTATACTGAAACCTTAATCTTTCTTTTATAAAGCAAAATGAGTGCTCAAGAAATCTGAATTACAAGAGGTAAAAGTGGGCCTTGGCAGGTTTGGCTCAAAGGTTAAACATCAGCCTTCAGACCAAAGGGTCTTGGGTTTGATTCCAGATCAAGGGACAGTAAGTAAATACCTGGGTTGCAGATTCAATCCCTATCCCTGGTTGGGATCCTGCAGGAGACAAACAATGGATTATTTCTCTCACACTGACGTCTAGATGTCGTGCACTGGCACAAGTGCTCTCCGCCCCACCCCCTTCCTCTTTCCCTCTCTGCCTCCCAATCTAACAAAAACAAAGAAACAAAATCAACGGAAAAATAACCTCAGCTGAGAAGAAACAACAACAAAAAGGTAAAAGTGAAAGCACTTAGACCATGTAGTAAAGCTTTCTAGAGGAAACACAACCATCACGGACTGTCAAACACAAGGGAAGATAAAGAGGAGTATAACACTGCTCATACCTTTAATGTTAGATTGAAACATCTGTAAGCACAGCAAAGACACCGAAAACAGCTTAATATAATCAATTTATTATTTATGCTATTTTCCTTTAAATATCAAATGATACCTTTTAGTTGAAAAAATGTAATTATTATTCAAATATTAATATTAATTCATTTCCAATTTACATGCCTCACATTCTTGGACACATTCAGGTCACTGGATTAGTGCTTATTTGATTAGATAAACAGTTAACATCAATCATGTATACAGCTGGCCCTCATTTATCACGGTTAATCAGTTCCAGACTCTACGACAATAAATGAATTTCCGCGAAGTAGGAATCTTTATTTATATACAGTCCATCCCTCACCATTTTGTGCTTCCACGTTCACGGCTTCACTCTATCACTGTATGGCCAGAAAAGGCCCACAAGCTAGCTATGGATGCAGTTTACATGGAACCCTGTTGAAAAAGAATGTTAGGAAGACACAGCAACTTCTCCCTCAACAATAACTTAAAGTGCATTATTTTTAAAAATATATATTTTATTGATTTCTTAGAAAGAGAGGAACATCCATGTGACAGAGAAACATCAATCCATTGCCTCGAGCGTGCCAGTGGGGATTGAGCCTGCAACACAGGCATGTGCCCTGACCTGGAATATAGCTGGGACCTCTCAGCCCTTAGGAGGACTGACACAGAATCCAGAGTCACACCTGCGGGGCAAAGTGTATTCTTTAGTGATAATAAGTCCGTACTGGTACTATAAATATTGAGGATGGTAGATCTTTTTCATTATATATTTGGCATATAGTATCAATTCAAATAACATTTCTCGTATTTATTTTACTCTGTTAGAAACATAAGTTTTTCAAATTTAGCAAACTGAAGAGCAGAAGCAGTAACATTTATTAGCTAATGTTAGAAAACCCAGATCCTCCGCCAATGCTTCAGTCACAAACTACAAATACCAATGGAGGTTCATCTCCTTCTGGAGATTGCACATGAGAACTCTTCTTTGCCTCTTATGAAGTACAGTGCTTCAAAACACGTCAGAGGGCAAACAGCACCCAATATTACAGTTATATTCATGTATCTGTTATTAATTTCATGGCGTATGAGACATTTACAGATGGTCTTCTCACTCTTCCAATCAGATTCAAGCCATTTCCCTGATCCCTTTTCTATAAACTCCTGGATAGGAATATATCTGCATAAACACTCTTCAACTTTCTGATTTTCACTAAGCACAAAGACTACACCTTGGAGCTTATGTATTGCTTCTTCCTTAGAATCTAACCTTAGAACAATAAACTTAAGGTTTATTTATTTATTTATTTATTTTGAAATTTGTATGCCCCTATAACCTCTTCCACCTCTAGCCCCAACCCCTGCAATCACCACTGTTGTCAGTGACCATGAGTTCTTTTTTTTGTTTGCTCATTCCCTCTACCCCCCAACACCCCTACCACCACAGCTGTCTGCATGCTCTCTATCCATTATTTTAAATGTCCTCTCCTATACTGAATAACTCGATTATATTTTACAGATGATGATAACGATGATTTTGTTTCGAAGCTGCATTTTCCATCGTATTATACTGGGTGGCACAACTCTTAGAGCTACTTTGATCAGCCACTGCACCCACAACAGAAGAAATCAAGCATTTATAAATAATTGACAAAATTTTTAAATGATATTTTATATGTAATATTTTAAAAATTGTTAATGAGATATTTCGCTTTTTGGTACTTAGTCTTTGAAATCTAGCATACACTTACAGTGCACCTCAATTCAGACTAGCCTCATTTCATATGCTTACCAGCCATGTCAGGGAATGGATGCTATACTTGACAACATGAGTTTAGCAGATTCCTCTGGAACTCTGATGAGCATAGTGTTCCTAGGTTCTTCCAGATTTGAGTATTTATTATAGTTGATATTTACTGAGCACTATGAGTCAATGTGAAATTTCTTATTCCTTGAGTTTACTGAAAATACGCTCCAACACTGAATTGCTTTATATATTACTGATGAGAAGTCTGATACCAATCTGATTTTCTTTCCTTTTAAATAACTTGATCTTTTAGCATGTAGACCCAGAGCATTTTTTCTTCGTACTTATTTTTACCTTTAAATCTAAGTTTTACAACTATTTCTTTGAGTTGACCATTCCAGGTCAATTTTAGCAGGTGCATGGTGGGCCCTTTCAACAGGCAGATTCTGGTCTTTCATTATTTCAGAAAAATTCATAGGTTAAAGTATTAGCGGTTTCATTTTTTTTTCTCCTTAAGAACTCCAATTACATGTATGTTGGATCTTTTTGCCTATCATCTATTTCAATCATTTGTTCACTGATCCTTTATTTTGTCTTCATTCTTCTGCCCATTTTCTTCAATGTTACTTACTAAATTTTCAGCCACCTCTATTCTTCCTTGGAATTTTGGAATTTAGTCTTAATTTCTAAAATAATCCTATCTTTTGCTTCCATTTCTTCTAGTCAAGTCTTAGGTCACATCTTCCTGGTATTTACCCACTTGGGTTCGAAGTTTCTGAATTTCTTACTTCAGGGTTTCTTCTCATATCTGCAAAGATTTAAGGATGTTTAATATATGTCATAATGTTCTCTTACTGATAACTGCTTCATGGTTGCTTTAGATTCTAAAGTTTAGAAGGAAAACTTTTCATAGCTAACATGTTTTTATTCTTATTTTCTGCTTTCTTCCTTATAGCACCTTTATATGTATATCATTTGCAATTTCCTATTCAGTGCGTAATATTTATTTTCCTTAACTAGCAATAAAACTTGTATGCAGTAAAAGTAAAAATTTGGGATGCCTATCTAGGTTTCTTAATTCAAAAGCTCCCTCTTTTGAACTTCAACCAAAGCAGTTATTTTATGGGTTTGTTTTTTTTCTTTCATTTCTACAGACACTTACTTTCCCCCTCTTGCTTCCTTCTTTCCTTCACTACCCACTCCATAAGAGAACAATTTTATCCCTACAGCACTCTCCTGATCTGTTGTCTGGGGTCCTGTGTTCTTTTTAAGTCTCCTCCTTTTGATTTCCCAATAGTCAGTGTTCTAATAGAATCTAAGACCAGATCTTAGTACTCTCCCTCCAAAATAGGACGTTTTCTTTCTAAAGGCAATTTTAATTGTGTACTATCACCCTTGGGCTCCTGGTTCAACCCACTCCCCTCCCACCTTTACCATGTTAGTCTCTGCAGTCTTCACCGAACACTCTCAAAATGGGTTCTGAAGATGAATAGGCTATATTTGTGTATTTATTTCTCTCTCAAATAATCTGTAGTTCTTAGTCTGTCTCCTCTTTATGCTGGAGAAATAGGTTATGGTTGGTTGATTTCATCTGATCTTTGTTGATCAGTATGAAATTTTAGAGAATGTGTGGAAAAATTCAGACTGAGGTGGCTGTCACTATTCTATGACAATCCAGGAGTCTCAATTCATTAAGAATTGTCAATATCTTTTTAGTAGACCATTTTATCTAGTTTACTCTAGTCTCTATTCTTCAAATACTATATGGGGTGGACAAAGGTACATTTATAGTTTGTGAGCATGCAAAACACAGAGTTAATAAAGCTACCGTAATAATCATAAGCGTGTCTTTCCCATCGAATAACTGTAAACCTACCTTTGCCCAACCCCATTTTTACTTAGGAAAAACTGATCCTTTCATCATTTATGATTAGCATCAGTCATAAGCCCTCATGGACAATAAACACAATAACTAAAAGAGCCACATGATACAAAAATATGTTAAGGAAGTGAACAACAATGAATTAGTTTACAAAGGAAACATTACCACTTCTGTGGTGTTCTGGATAACGTAGGATAAAAAAGTGAAATTTGGGCAATTGCTATAAGAGAATTAAGAAAAAAAGATTTTCATTTCTACTAAAACAGTACCAGTCTTCCATGTTCAATGATTGCAGATTTAACATGGCTATTGAAAAACAGTTGATTATAAGTTTTAAAAGCTCTTACTTCAGAAATGATTTTGGTACCTGACAGGTTATCAATTTAGAAATATTAAAAGCACAAGAAGACTAAAAATAATGACAATAAGAAAGTTCTTAGCCCTAGCCTGTTTGGCTCAGCAGTTAGAGCATTGGCCTGCAGACCAGAGAGCCACGGGTTCACTTCCTGCTAAGGGCAAGTAACTTGGTTGCAGTTTGTCCCCACCCCGGTTGGGGTCGTGTGGGTGGCAACCACTCAATGTGTCTATCTTGCATCGCTATTTCTCTCTCTCTCTTCCCCCCTCTCTCCCTCCGGCACTATCTGAAAATAAATGCAAAAATGTCCTCAGGTGAGGATTAAAAAAAAACCAAAGTTCTTACTGTTACAGAAGATTTATAGGGTCATCTACATTAGCAACTTGTGTACATAATTTGCTTTGCTTAGGATTATAACTTTAAAGGGAGCCAAAAATCAATAAAAGGGTTAGGAAATAACCTAAGAATTAAAGAGGCAGATGAGTACTATGAATAAAGCTAGGAATGTGGAATTATATAGTAAACACTTTTTACTTTAAAGACGAGTAAATGTATTCCCTCACAGGGTTGTTCTATAAAAAATAAACGATTATATGACTCATGTATGAAATAGGAATTGTCATCAGGCAATCAGCTAAAACAAAGTTAAAGTACAAAGGTAAAAGAGGCAGTGAGACAGAAAAACAGCCTAATCCTGCAGGAAACGACTTTAAAGCTGTATGGGTTGCCCTGGCCAGTTTGGCTCAGCGGTTAGAGCGTCGGCCTGCGGTCCGGAGAGACCCGGGTTCGGTTCCCGCTAAGGGCACGTGCTTCGGTTGCAGTTTGTCCCCGGCCCTGGTTGGTCGTGCGGGTGGCAGCCACTCGATGTGTCCCTTCACGTCGATGTTTCTCTCTCTCTCTCCCTCCCACTCTATCTGTACAAAAAAATGGAAAAATATCCTCGGGTGAGGATAAAAAAAAAAAAAAAAAAAAGCTGTATGGGTTATCACGCTGGTATTGTTTTTTGGTCCCCCAGAAATGCAAGATGGTCCCCATGCTCTTATTCTGGAAGAGATTTTTTTCTCTTTATTGTTTAGAGAGAGAGGAAGGGGGAGGGAGAGAGAGATAAAGTGATAAAGAGATAAATCGATGAGAGAGAACATCGACTGGCCGCCTCCTGCATGCCCATTGGGAATCTGGCCCACAACCTGGGCATGTGCCCTGATCAGGAATCAAACCGGTGACCTCTTGGTACATGGGTCAACGCTCAACTACTGAGCCATACCGGCCTGGCTAGAACAGATTTTTTATAATGAATGCACTGTTAATTTTTCTTGTCTTTGGGCCTTTGATTTATGATGTGATTCAGATATCATAGTCTCTAAAGACAATTCCTGTCTGAATATTTAGAGATGAAAATAGGTGGCATATTAATTCTCAAGTAAGTATGAAATAGAGTAACCACACTACAATTCAATAAGCATTTACTGAAAATATTCTAACTAGTCTCTGAATCAAAGATTAGAATAAACAGAAGCTGATTTCTTGGCTGGTAGCCTTCACTTATTTACTAAAAACATTTTAAAACTGAGATCTGAAGTATTTATATGAGAAAATGAATGCTTCCATATTAATTTAGATCAGAGATTTACACAAAAGGCTTGCTTAAACAGTTTTCCATAAAATCTAGTAAATATTTAAATATTCTAACTTTTGTCTCTTAAGATTCTGACACATATACTATATTTAAGGTTACCCAAACAAAAAAGAAAGAAAACCACTCTGAAGTCACACATCAAAATAAAAATTCTAATTTCGGATTAAAATCATTTGTAATGTACAATTCAAATATACTAAATTCCACAGTATAAATTTAAAAAGCATAATTATTTTCCTTTCAGAATTATCCTTTCTAATGACAAGTTAGTACATTATAAAATGGAATGTTAAGTTTATTTACCTTTTTTATCTTTATTGCAATTTCCTCCCCCCACCCCCCATTGATACCCTCCCTTCCTCTTCTATAACTTTAAGTTTAGATTACCGTTACACACATTACCATCTTATACTTGGAAAAGTGGAAAAATCATTCCTTCTTAATCATGTGCAATGCAGGTACAAAAAGTGATATATTTAGTTAAAACACTTGACACTAAGGAAGAATTATAAAACTAGAAGGTCTCTATTTTAAAATAAATAACACTACAGATTCACTTAAGTTAGCTGTTTTCTAATTTTACCTTTAAGAGGACAGTAGCAATCAAACAATCACTTTATACAGGGAAGTAAGACCAACTGTAGTATATAAACATCTTACCGGTACTTTTACCTTTTCTTCTCTAAAAGCCAGATGCTAATTTTATAAAATATAACAATAAATACCCATACAATAAACATATCCGTCTATATCTCAAGATTTAAAAAGGTTTATATATCATCTTTTCTTTTAAATAGTAACAATTTGAAACAAATTTTTAAAAGCAAATATTTAAGGCATAATATGTTTTAAAATCTAGCGTCTGGAAACAATTTCATATTCTGTAAACTCAGCAAAAAACTGTACTTTACAAAATTAAGAATTACATTCTAAGTAAACTAAGAGTTTCAATCTAACCTCTGATTCTGCCAGAACAAAGCAAGTTAACATTACAGGGTCTGTTTCCTTATCTTTCAAATGGTGATGATAGTACCTCCTCAAGAGCTATAGGAAAGATTAAATAACAGATACAGTGCAAATTCCAGGGCTCAGTACAGAGTAGGTGCACAATCAATGATAGATATCATTCTTAAGTCAAAGACTCGTCATCTGCACAAATTCCCCCTTTCTTTGAGAAATTCTTTTGTATCAATAGTCTTAGATTTGAGAACACAAATTTTGATATAAATTCTTAAAAAAAACATATTCCCGCCCTGGCCGGTTTTGCTCAGCGGTTAGAGCATCGGCCTGCGGTCCGGAGAGACCCGGGTTCGGTTCCCGCTAAGGGCATGTACTTCGGTTGCAGTTTGTCCCCGGCCCTGGTTGGTCGTGCGGTGGCGGCCACTCAATGTGTCCCTTTCACATCGATGTTTCTCTCTCTCTGTCTCTTCCTCTCTCTCCCTCCCACTCTATCTGTACAAAAAATGGGAAAATGTCCTCGGGTGAGGATAAAAAAAACAAACAAAAACATATTCCCTTTGTTCCCTTCCTGGGGAGTCAATAATTATAAAGGCAGAGTTTATTGTTTTTATTAACATCTTGTGGCTATGTGGCCTTAATATTTGATGATATAGAAGTTCAAGACCATTTTCAATATATGGGCTCCATGAATAAGTCTATAATGGGTCTGAAATTTAACCCAACAATTATATAATTCTTTTCCTTGAATCTGTTCTGTAAAAAGTTATAAACTTTTGTTTCCTTTTTTCATTTCTTTTCCTTTCTCCATCAGTCTCTCCAGGAGAGGATTGAGCAACCCTCTACACATAACAAATGTTATCACCTAATACCCTTCAGTTCTGGGACAAATGATCCATTTAGATAATTCTTTTTTTTTCTAACATAGAGAAAACACAGAGCCATTAAAAACAAAAGATTATAATAAAATAACTCTTCAAAAGATTAACTTGAGATATTCAATTTACCTAGGCTAATTACATGATTAAGTAAATCTACTTATGTAGACATGTGTAAAAATCAGGTCATCGCATGGTTACCAGTCCACTAGAAACTATAGTCTAGGTAGGTGCCCTTGACCGGGAATTGAAACCACGACCCTTATTTAGGTCTGCAAGCTGACACTCTAACCTTTGACAAACCGGCCAGGGCCTGAAAAAGAATTTTCAAAGCTAGCTTTAAAATGTGCTCATAGCCCTGGCTGGTTTGGCTCAGCGGTTGGAGCATCGGCCTGCGGTACAGAGACACCCGGGTTCGGTTCCCGCTAAGGGCACGTACCTTGGTTGCAGTTTGTCCCCGGCCCTGGTTGGTCTTGCGGGTGGCAGCCACTCGATGTGTCCCTTCACATCGATGTTTCTCTCTCTCTCTCTCTTCCTCTCTCTCCCTCCCGCTCTATCTGAACAAAAAAAAAAAAAAAAAAAATGGAAAAACGTCCTCGGGTGAGGAATAAAAAGAAATAAATAAATAAAATGTGCTCTTAGATGAAGACTACTAAAGTCAGTTATTTTAGATTTTTAAATCAGTTTACTAAAAAATAAAACAAATGAAACAATACAACGTGTTTGTCCATGAACAGCTGTATACTTTTTACCTTTAGTATTATTTACCATCTCTCCAAAGATCAAGTTTTACCTCAATTTTAAGGAACTTTCTTGGATGACTACTAGTGGTTCTTTTCAATTAAATCTAAGTATGCACATTATTTCAAAGTAAAATTATTAAAAAGGTGGCCATCAAATCTCAGACAATAATATTAGGTCTTTTAACATCCCTCTGTTTCTTCTCCTTAATCTCCTCACATATAAACACAGTCATTTTTTAAAGAACAAATGTAGGTGTTAAACAAAACAACTATGGTGCTTATCTATTAAGAATGAAATAATGGTCTCTCTCTGGGAATGGTAATACTGTCATCACTACCACCAATCAATTCCTCCTTTCTTCTGTTAACTTGGCTTTTAGTACCTTGGGGGTGGGGATGTGGGGTAGGAGGATGGAACAAGTAAAACAACCTCAGTATTCAGAGATAGGATTCAGAAGAATTCAAGTTATGTGAGTGCAAGTTATGTGATAAACTACAATCAATTTCTGAATGACTGATCCTTTTGTTTGGCATTTGAGTCAACACAATGAAACTTACTATTTTGAGCCAGGGCTTGAAGCAGACAATCCAAGCATCCTTCTAAACTATCCTCAGTTCTGTCAACAGCTGTTATCTTCAGCTTCTTCAAGGTATCACTGAGATTATCTGCTTATAGAAAAAAAAAAGAAAAAGAAATCAGAAACCTCACTAACCACATGGCCATCATAGGCTACATAACAAACAGTTACAACCGGTTTTCAAAGGGCTCTCATTACAGTGAATTAATGTCCACATACATTCCAAAATGACAATAGACTGTACTATAACTAATTTTTTAAATAAAATTGTATCCATTTAAGTCAAACAAGAAATATTCATTCTGTATATATGATAGCATGAACTGTACACAAACTGTTGCAGAACATCTTTTTCAGCATTCTTATACCTTATTATTTAGCTTGTTCAAGAAACTAGCCACGATTAATCGGAAAAAAAACAAAACAAAAAAACACTAAAGTTCCACAAAATAATTTTACAGGTTTGTAAATATTCTGTTTATTTTACACTTCCTCTGTTGTATCTTAAAGACATAAAATGAAAATGAAGGTTTAGAAATGCTTCAAAATAACACAACATAAAATAATACAAAGTCTGATAACTATGTAAACTACTTTAACACTGCCATTTGAAAAACAAATCAAAATACTGCTTTAAGCCAAAACATGTACATTTTAGATTATAAAACTATGCTCACCTCCTAAATTATATTTGGATTCCTCCAGAACACAGATTATCAAAACCTCTTTACATTACTCAAACTGATTCAGAATCTCAAACAGGTTTCTTTTTTTAACCCATCACCAGGGATATGCTTTATTGATTTTTAGAGAGAGGAAGAGAGAAACATTGATCAGTTGACTCCCATACATGCTCTGACCAGGGATCGAATCCTCAACTTAGGTTATGTGCCCTGATAAAGAATAGAACCCACAACCTTTCAGTATACAGGGTGATTGATGCTCCAACCAAGAGAGCTACAAGGCCAGGGCTCACATAGGTCTTTTTATTTGCACATCAATTATTTCTACTTATATTCAACATACTATCATTTAAAACCGAGATTTAAGGTTTTAGTAATTTATTTAAATCTAACAATTATAAAACTATTATGTTACATATTTTAATAAAAAAACAACACGCTTATTAAAAAAGATGGTATTTCAAATTTTTTAATTGAATTTATTGGGCTGAGATTGGTTAATAAAATTCTATAGGTTTCAAGTGTACAATTCTATAATGCAACATCAGTATACAGCATTGTGTCACCACCTCCTTCCAACACCATATATTTTACCCCTATGACCCATTTCTACTCCCCTTTCCCTCTGGTAACCATTGCTCTGTTGTCTAAGTCCATGAGTTTCTGTCTGTCTGCCTTCTTTGTTCATTTGTTACTTTCCATTTTATATTCAACATATGAGTGAAATCTAATGGTTATTGACTTTTCCTGTCTGACTTGTTTAACTTAGCATGATATTCTCAAGATCCATTCATGCTGTCACAAAAGGCAGTATTTCACCTTTTCTATTGACTGAGTAATATTCCATTGTATGTATGTACCACACTGAAAAAGATGGTATTTTTTTTCTACAAATCTACCTAATTACCTAATGTCTGCCATAATAGAAGACAGTGGATTCACATATTGCTTCTGTACTCAATTTTTTAAATTTGTTTTGGTTGAGTAGATAAAGAAAATTTAGCCTCATCATACACAAACATAGTTAAAAATATGTATTCTAATATGAGAATTATAATCATGGATAGTCTTAGATACCACACCAAAATATAACAAGTGGTAATTTTTTAAAGGGTAGTTGCCATGTAAAATCTGAAACAATATTAATGAATATTTTCAACTCTTACATTAAAATCCATTGGTTTCTTACACTTTGAATCTTTTATGCATGCAAGATATTTATCATCATATCAGCATTTGGTCATTAAAAAATTAGATAAGACTTATTTATGCATACCTTTCAAATACTGACACATTTCATTTTAAAATACCACATTTGTTAATATAACCAATCTTATTAAAAGACGTTAAGTGTCCAGTTCAAGGTGATACAAATTTTCCAAAATTCTATTTTTATTTTTAAAAAACTCAAACTTTTGATCACTGAAAAAAATTTTTCTACAGAGAGTTGTTTTCCTTACATGGCAAATTAACCTCATTCATTTATGAGAAAAGGTCTGCCAAATATGAAAAACCAGTTTGTCTGACAGTTCTTTCAAATAAAGTGTTATTATTCCATGGAAAAAAGAGTACCTCAGTCAGCTCAAAACTCAAGCAGTTACACAACTGTTTATCTTCAAAATAACCACCAGACTTTGTAATGTAATAAAAGTGTTTTATGTATTTTATATATATTTCATCAAATAGAATATTTTTCATTTATACACAAATTCCTGCTTCATTATGGACATTCTTAAATGAAACTGGTATGTTTTACTTCAAGAACTTGATGGTGAAGAATCAATACTATAACTACTAGCACAGTTTGGTACTACTATCACCCAGATTCACAAAGACTAAAGCATTGGCAGTTTTTTATCCACAACTGCTTTTGCACCATTATCAGTACAAATGTCAACAGTGATAAAGACAAATGATGTCTTGATGGTATTATGCAGAGTTTTGACCTCATAGACACCCTAATAGGATACCAAGGACCCCTAGGATTGCTGCTCTGATATTAAAATTTCAGGCATTTTCTCATAAAAAGGAAGAAAATTTCACCCTTTATTAGACAGCATGGATGGACCTGGAGAACATTATGCTAAGTGAACAAGCCTGTCAGAGAAAGACAAGTACCACATTATCTTACTCATATGTGGAAATTAATGAACAAATTGAACTACTAAGCGAAATAGAGACAAACTCAGAGAGAGCAGGCAGACGGTTCTGATGGGGGGTGCAGTTGTAAAGGGTGGTGGACAAATTGGGAAAAAAAGAGAGAAAGAAAAAGAACTCATGGACATGAAAAGTGGTGACTGTGGAGGGGAGGGGGTAGCAGAGGAGGGCATAGAGGGGACAAATGGTGACAGACAGATAGATACATAAATAAATTTCAGGCATTTTCTTACTTCAAAGTAAGGTATACATTTTAATATACTTCTGTGGATTGCCAGCTCATGACAATTCTAAATATATGATGGAGTTCTCTGTTAGAAAAAGAGAAATAATTTTCCATGTCAACCCAAGAAAAAATAGCCTTAAAAATGTACATCAAATAACACAAACATGCTCTACAGATATCTAGTACAACCACTGACTAAGCTAGCAAACCTAAACCTACACTTTATTAAGAATCCCAAGGTATCATTCACAACCAAGGTTAGTATTTATTTCCTTAGAAGGAGCTAGTTTTGAGAAGCTGATCTTTTTCTGAATAAGAAAACTATATTTAAATGTAGCTCTGCTATAAACTAAAAAAAGTTGTAGATGCCCAGTTGGTGTGGCTCAGTGATTGAGCATCGACTCATGGACCAAGAGGTCACCAGGTTCAATTCCTGGCCAGGGCACATGCCTGGGTTTCGAGATCAATCACTAATGGGGGACATGCAGGAGGAAGCTGATTAATGTGTCGTCTCACTGATGTTTCTATCTTTCTCTCCTTCTCCCTTCCACTCTCTCAAAAAATCAATAAAAATATATTTTTTTAAAATTGTAGGGCTTAATATCTCAGATATACTTGTTTAATCTTATTAAATAGGTATTAAGTTGATTTTTCTAAAATAAAGTATAAATAATATCTAAGTTTATATTATTTTAACTGATTGATTTTAGAGAGAAAGGAAGGGGGTGGGCGAGGTAGGAGAGAGGGAGAAAGAAGGGGAAAGAAGGAAGAAGGGGAGAGAGAAGGGGAAAGAGGGAGAGAAACACTGATTTGTTGTGTCATTAATTTATGCATTCATTGGTTGCTTCTTGTATGTGCCCTGACCAGGAATTGAACCCCTAACCTTGGCATATTGGGACAATGCTCTAACCACCTGAGCTACCCAGCCAGGGCCAGAGTTCATATTACTAAAATAAAAAGTAGCTATCACAACATTGAGAATAAAATAAGCCTTATAATGTTAGTCAAATCATATCAATTAATCAAAACTATCAGTAAGCCCTGGTCAGTTTGGCTCAGCGGTTAGAGCATCGGCCTGCGGTCCGGAGAGACCCGGGTTCGGTTCCCGCTAGGGGCACGTGCTTCGGTTGCAGTTTGTCCCCGGCCCTGGTTGGTCGTGCGGGTGGCAGCCACTCGATGTGTCCCTTCACGTCGATGTTTCTCTCTCTCTCTCTCCCTCCCACTCTATCTGTACAAAAAATGGAAAAATATCCTCGGGTGAGGATAAAAAAAAAAAAAAAAAAAAAAAAAAAAAACTATCAGTAAATAAAAGCCATTAAAACTTACTTAATACTATCCATATTGGCACCTGGGTCCACTTTAAATTATTTCCGTTCCTTTATACCATCCCTAATGTTCCTTGCTTGCCATCCCTTCCTCATCCACTCTCAACCTAGATGTCACCACCCCAAGGATCATCTTTGCCCATTCTACTCTTCATTAACCCTCCAGGGTCATGTTCTATCACTGCATCCAACCTTCACAGCATTATTCAGTTTCTAATACTTAAAAAAAAATTTTTAATATATACTCCCACTTTATATTGTATGGGGAATCTTGTTAGTTCCAGTAGTCCCCCACTTATCTGCGGGTTCACTTTTCATGGTCTCAGTTACCTGTGGTCAGCCACAGTCCAAAAATACTAAATAGCAAATTCCCAAAATACACCATTCATAAGTTTTAAATTGCACCCCATTCTGAGCAGCATGGTGGAATCTTGTGCCTTCCGACTCAGTCCCACCCTGGACATGAATCATCCCTTCGTCCAGCTATCCATGCTGTATGCTCCCCATCCATTATTCACTTAGTGCCCATCTTGGTTATCAGATCCACTGTCATGGTACCACAGTGCTTGTTTCAAGGAATCATTTTACTTAATGCCCCCAAAGTGCAAGAATAGTGGTGCTAGAAATTCAGATGTGCCAAAGAGAAGCCCTAAAGGGCTTCCTTTAAGTGAAAGGTAAGTATAGTGCATGATACTTTGAT